CCTCTGAGCGCGCCCCCCGCCGACCGGCGGCGCGGCGCGCTTTCCGCTTCTCCTCCCCTGCGCCCGCCGCCGCAGGAAGCCGCGCGCCCGTGACGCAGGCGGCGCTCCAGCTCAGAGGCACGCGCGGCCGGGGCACCCGCGGGGCGGGAGGGCTCCGAGCCACAGGCCGGGCGGCGGCCGCGGGCAGGCCGCTCGGGGCGACAGGAGGCGCCCGGCTTGCTGCGGTTCCCCGCTGCCCGGCTGCGCCGCAGATGGCATCCAGCGGGCCCGCGCTGTGCCTGCGCGCTCCCTCCCCACCTCGCCGCTCGCCGCCTTCCCCAGCCCTCGCGGCTCCACCCGTGACGCCCCCCAGTGGCACCTGGCAGCCCGAAGTGGCAGCCGCGGGGAGCACTGTGCGAGGTCATCTCGTGGGGGGCGGGAACGCGCGCTGCCGAGGCCAGGAGTCCCGCGGGCCCCGCACGCTGCGCCTTGCAAGTGCCCCAGCCGCAGCCTCAGCCGTGCCCTGCGTGGCGCTGCGCACGGGGGCCCGAGCGGGGGTCGGACCGGAGGCCCTCCGGCCCCTTCTGGCTCTGCTGCTCGGGGTCTAGGGCAGGCCACGCCCGGCATGGGCCCGCTAGGCTTGGGTTGTCAACAGAAGGGCCAAGCGGCAAAGGGGGGTCGCATTGGGGAGGGACAGCGAGTCTCCCCTGTGCAATCTGCGCCTCCGGTTTTTGGGTAGTGCCTGGCAGGTCTCGTCGGCACCCGCCAGTCACACCGCCCCAAGCTTCTAGGTATCCCAGAAGGGAAAGGGCTGCATCCCACCCACTCGTGGCTGAGAGTACTTACCTTTGGCAGCTGTCAAAAGATTAAAAAATCTTTCTGGCAAGAGTAGAGCTGGAAGGGGCCAGAGGGCCGCCAGGACCAGCCGCCTGCTCAGGGCAGGACCCCAGCGGGCAGTCCGCGTGAGCGCTGCATTTGGACGGGGCAACGTGTCTTGTTGGGCCAGAGTGGGGCAGCCCTGGTCCTCCCCTGGCTCTGCAGTTGGCAGCAGTGGTGGCACCCGGAAGCCCGCGGCGTCTTGCCCACCCTCCTGCCTCCAGCGCAGGTTCCTGCGAGTGTGGAGGCTGCATCCAGCACCTGTGACGGATAGCGCCCACGGGTTCAGGTCTTTTCTCCGTGAGGCTGCCCAGTCCGCAGTTAGAGGGGCACAGACGCCATCTCTGCCCCACATAGCAAGATGCTGTTGGGGGCCCGTTTCAGGGACGTGCCGTGCACCATCTCCGATAGCTCACGGTGCTTTTCTGCATTTGTGCATATTTGGGAGTGGCACAGCTGCCCCAACCTCCCCCATTTCACTGGGTGCACTTTGGCCACCGCTGTTTTAAAAGGTGGCATCTCCAGGGGACGGATTCCTCTGCAGGGCGATGCATCCAAAGTCCTTCCGTGCCCCCGCGATCAGAGAAGGAAGCGTGTCCAGTGGCCCCTCGCAGGACTCCAGAAGGCCCTGAGCCCCCTCTTTGGGTTGTGTGTGCTGGTCTTCCAGGCACCCCAAGTGTTGCCAGCCCAGGTGACAGGTTGCACCTGCCGATAAGCAAGCCGCAGCCGTCCTGGCTTGCCGAAAGCGGGCTGAGGTTGCCGGGTCCCGAAGGCTTTGCCCGAAGCCTGCTGTTGCCGGGCTGGTCCGCTGTCTGCCAGTCCGTGGGTGTCTATTGCTGTTTTCATGCTGGCATTTAGCTGAATTTTAATATCGTGGTTGCTTGACTGTGTAAACTTCTGTGTATTTCTACTACTGTTTTAATTGTTCAAGTCTTTTCAATGTTGTCGGCCTCCCTGAGTCCCAGTACTGGGAGCAGCTGAAATGTAACTCTATATAATCAAGTGAGGAAAGGCACCCTCCGAACCACTGGCAGCCCCCCCCCTTTGGAGGACGAGCCTCCTTTTCCCTGTGGGCATGAACGTGCCTGGCAGAGAGAGATCCTTTCTTTGCGCTCAAGGTGGGATTTTGGGCAGGGCCTGGCGTCCCGCCCCACATCCCAAGGTGTAAATCCCGAGTCCCGACCTGGGACGTGGCTGCAGGAGCAATGAGAGCGAGAGAAGGCGCCTCAGAGCCACTCCCGCTTACCTCCCCGGAACGTGGCTTCTGCCCGTGCAGAGCGCGCACGAGCACCGAGCCAGCCAAGTCCCGGGTGCAGCAGATGGCGCCGGGAGGAGAACAGTGAGGGACCGAGGAAGGGCAGGGGCAGGGGCAGCAGAGCCCTCGGCTCCCTCGTGGCCTCGTCTGGGGATGGTGTGACAAGCCACACCGTGCGCACGCGCCTTCCTGGGCTGTGCGGCTCGGCGAAATCACGGCACAAGCCATGAACGTGGCCCCGAGGGGGAGCTGCGGATGAGGGGGCCTTGCTTGGCAGGTCTCGGTGGCTGGGGCGGGTGCTGTACTTGGGAGCCCCCTTGCAGTGGGGGCAGAACCTCCCCCGCGGCGGCTTGACCCTGGGTAGCTGACATGCATCTCGCAGGCGGGCCCGAAGTGCCAAGGACCAGGCCGCAGACCGACAGAAACGTGGCATCGCCCAGCAAGCGGCCTGGAAGCGGCGAGCAGGAAAGGGCAGCCCCCCCCATTTGTGGAGGAAGGCGGTGCTGGCTCAGCGAGGCAGCCCCGCCCAGGCCGGTGATGTGGGCGCCATCTCGCAGGGGGGTCTGTGCGAAGCGTGGCCTCCGGCACTTGCAAAGAGCCTCCCCAGGAAGGGGGCGCACGGAGGCGAAGAGCCGCTCTGCTTGGGGGGACACGTGCGTTGGGGCAGCAACGCCTTCCGCTCCAAGCGGGTTTCTGGTGGAGCACTTGGGACCCGCACATCCCAGCCATCTCCCGGGCGGAGCTGCTGGGAACTCCGCAGCCCCCTTTCTGCGATCGTCCCTTGCCGGAGGGGCCTCCCCCCGCGCACGGGCCAGGGAGATGCGGGGAGGCCGAGGAGGAGCGTGGGACAATGCAGAGGCAGGCTCCGCGGCGGAAGGGAGGGTGCAGAGGGCCAGCTGCGGAGACCGCGAGGCCGAAGGGGCAGCGAAGAGGGCGAGGCTCCGTCCGGTCCACACCTTGCCTGGGCACGAGGCGCCGTGGTGACTCGGAGGAGGCCGGGCGCACGGCAGGCGTGAGTGGCCCCTTGCCTTCCGCGCAGTCGGCTCCAGAACGGATTCCCGGCACCTGCGGGTTCTGCCTGCTTCAGCCCCCGGAAACAAGCCTGTGAGAAAGTGCTGGGCCTCGTGCTTCCTTCGCACGGCGGCGGCGGCGGCTTCCATTGGGCTGCTTCTGGTCACAAGCTGCCAGAGTTCTAAGAAGTGCGGAGCGGCAGCTGACGCAACTCTGCGCCTGAGGCTTGGCGGCACAGGAAGGCGCTCCGCTGGCTCCCCTGCTGCAAAGAGGGAATCGGAGGCATTTGCCTCCCCCAAAAGCAGCCGCAGCCACTGCGCTTAAATTAGGCGTGCTTAAAATAAGGGCGAACGGGCCAGTTGCCACCAAGGCAGGGCTGCAGACAATGCCTCGGGCCAGGCAGGTGAGCAGGGCCTGTTCTGAGGTAGCACCGCCGGGATGGGACGCTGCAGCCCGGGGGCCAAATCCAGGGCTGGCCCCAGCGACGGCTGCCTCGGGGCTTGCCCGCTGCCCTTTCCTCTCCCGTTCCAAGGACCGGGTCTCCTCTCCAAGGCTTCGGCCCTGGCCAGACACGCTCGAGGCCAAAGGCTACTGGCCTGGCTGGCCCGCGCCTTTCGCCCACCCCGGGACGTGGCTCCCGAGAGTGGGTCTGGCCTGCCGCAGGAGCCCCCCCCTCGGGAGGGAGGCTGGCCGGCCCGTGCGTGGCCTCGCTCAGGCCGGTGCGGCAAGACAGAGACAGAGCGGGCCTGGCAGCCGGGCAGCTCTCGCAATGCCTCGCCCAGCATCTCGGCAGACATCCTCCCGCTTGGCTTCCCTGTTCCGCGCCTACAAAAGGGCCACTGTTTCTCGGAGAGATTAGGAAGGATTAATTCCTCCGCCTTCTGCACCGCCCGCGTGACTGGACGGGGCCTGGGGTCAGCGTGGCGGGCACTG